GCTGCGCGTCGAGCTGCAAAAGTTCAGATTTTCTAACTTCAGCGATTTGCGCATCAAGCATGTTGAACGCTCAGATCGTTCAAATCGCTCAAATCGCGCTGCTCTAATCGCACTTGAGGCGCCGCAGCACTTCCCGATGCTGATTGAAGCGCGTCCACCATAGACTTTGCATGTGAACCTGAGGCTCCTGATGCTGAAATCGTGTTTGGTTTGGTTAGTCATTGTAGCGATGCTCTGTTTACATGCAAACATTCCCCTTTGACATCACTTCCTGTTAAATCACATGCAAATATCTCAACAACTGTTCATAACAGTGGTGTGAAATTTCTTTTGCAGCATGTTATCCATGTTATCTTTCCAAAAGTGCTATCACATTTATCACAAAAAATTAATGTCACAGGTACTTTGACACCATTTTTTATGTGTGATCTCTTAGATTTTCATATATAGTACATCATTTATTCTGACTTACAGCCTCATTTTATCATTTTATTTTCTTAGCATTATTGTTTATTTGATTTGTGAAATCTCAGAAACTGTTTTAGTTAATCCAGGATCAGCAAAAACAGGTAAAGTTTGATTTTATGGTTTCATTCCCCTTGTCTGAAGGATCCTGTCAGGAACAAATGAGAAATGATAAATCTTCAGTGGTTTTGTGGTTTTGCCTCTGCAGGAATAGGTCTGTCACTTGCTCCGTCAATCAGATGTGTGAAAAGACTCGGTAAACAGAAGACATTGCCCTGACCCTCCATCTGTAGGTTTGTGTGTTTGAGGAATACAGTTTGTTTGGGGGGTTTCCACTGTGAGAATTTAAAGAGCACAGAGGAAGAATGAAGGTTTCCTGTGGTGGAGAAATTAGATATCACTACTTCTGACAGTTGCTTTGGCTGCTTTTGGTGATGAATTCTGTCCCCTTCTGGTTCCACATATCCAACAGATTAATCCTCTCACCTCTTCTCTCCTGTTCCTTTTAAAAATGTAAACTTGGTTTCCATAGTTACTGATAGAGCAGTATAGTGAATAGATATCCAAAATGTTCATGTCAGTGGCTTGAGACCCTGTGCTATATTTTAAAATAAATACCTTTTAATCAATCGTGGTTGCCTTACATAAATCATTTTGAGTCATGACAAAATTGTGAAATAATTCTTTAGGGATTATTTTACAAGATCAGGCTGGGATAGTTWTGTTTTTATTTTATTTTTCTGTCAAAACGTCAAAGCGAACAATAAGCCAAGTATCTGAGAAGCATTCCCTCAGTGCCGTTGTCTGAAAAATAACAGAAATGCTTCAGTGAACCACAGTTTCATTACCAGAAGGCACAGGTCTTTTTTACTGCCAATAATATAAACATCACTGCAACATATCAACATCCTGCTGCTCTAAAAGAAATACTTCCAAACTAATTTAATCTTTCTTCTATCTACATAAATGGATGGTGAGAAAGTTTCAATTTTAAACTTGTTTGCTTGTAAAAAAAAAAAAACGGTTCAAATTCAGAAAATCATGAGTGGATCTGAGAAGTCATGAAGACAATTTAATTGCTGATTTGATCATTTTAACACCAGCGCTCACCTTAAAGTAAGCCAGTAGTGGTTTATGTCATAAATCTAGCATGTAAGTCAAACTAAACAATCGTATTTTAAAGCCTGTACGAAAGAAAAATGTCAAAAGAAAAAGCAAAAAAGTCACTGAATGGTCATAAACTTTAGACTTTCAGGCAGYGCTGCAATAATAAAACTTTTTATTTTATATTTTTACAATTGATAGRCTATGTTAGAAATGGGGTTATACACAAATCTTCCATAACGTTATGACCACCCACTTGTAATTCCCCTTTGGACATCGTAACAGCTCTGACCAGTCAAGACCCAAAGATTCTGTTAGTGTATCGGGTCCACATCTTATATTCTTAAGTAATATTTAAGGGGTTCACTGCACTCCAGCTGAGGGACAAGTGCAGGGTGGCCCTGCTGCCACATGGCGGCACGACTTCGTTTTAAAAAGGTGTCACAATCCRTGAAGGTAAAACCCAAAAATTCAGCAAGGCTGACATGAAGGACTCAAATCTAAAATACTTTTGAAGAAACTTTTGTGACTATTTAACTGAATTTTATATCCAGTCTGGTATTTTCATCCATAACTTTAAACAGAGGAAGAGAATCAGTGTGTCYTATCAATATGGGGCCTTTCCGTCTGTATAAACAAAGTTGTTTACATTTCAATGTCTGACCTAAAAGATACAGCCTCCAGGGGTACAACCAGGAAGTCAGATGTACATGTTACTTTACTGGGATGATATTTCATYATATTGTGTAGTTTTGTCTTAGAGCAGCCTGGGACAGATGCTGCTTGAGTGGGATTGTTATTATTTTGGTTCTGATAAGACCCAATGCCTTTTTCTGAGTGTGAATGGGTGAATGTCTGTTAGTGTAAAGCGCTTTGGGGTCCGGAGGGACTTAAAAAGTGCTCTATAAGTTCAGTACCATTTACCATTTTACCATTTTCACTTTCAAGCCTGCTGCTGGCTGCCCGTGGGCCTTTAATGGGGTCGGATTTTGGAAAATTAGCCTTTTTAGAAGAGAAKCAACTGATTTTCTGCAAACGTATTCGGACTTCCAATTTACYGAAACACAATTTTACCTACGCTTTTGTTAAATCAAAACAACGTGGCAGCAAAACTAGTAAAACTAACAAAACACAGGAAGGTACAGGGAGACATGGAGGACCGGTGGAGTGGAAACCATACAACAATCAGCCAAGGAAGTGGTGGAAGAAGGAACTGGAAAACTCCTGAGAGCTAACTGAGGGCAGTGATAGAAATGACACTGGAGGCATAAACACAAGGGTTATAAAGAGATCTAAATACAGAAACAGAAGAGGATGAGAATCCAAACTCACATAAAAATATGGGTCACAGAGAACTAGAAAATGGATAAAACTACAAAACTCAAAGGACCGCTGAAGCAAACAAACCAAAACACGCAGACTGTGACAAAAGGTGTCCTCCATGGTCATTATAGGTTGGAGTTTTTCCCCAGCAGAACATTGATTTCAGGCGTTACCTCAAACCTTTCAACGTCCCGTGACAAAAATGTGCACGGTCTTCATTCAGCTATAGAAGATGGCAGCTGTGTGTTTGATACATGTTTTATTCTGAGCTGAATTCAAATAAACCCTCACAGTGGGAGCCCTGCTAATGTGTCACATGAGCTCTGTTTGAAAATGTCAATAAATGATCAGAGCAGAGGGAAAATTAATAAAATCTTCTACGCTTCTCCCTCCTACAGCTTTCATTCTGTCTGGATAACACGGGAGAACAGAATAATCCCTACAARCAGCTGCTAATAGCTTGTCACTACACAGCCTCTTTATGGGCTTGATCTGGAGAAAGCAAATCTGTCTGATGGTTTTAGTATAAGTAGGCCACGGTGACAAAAGATTGGTGTAAGAAAAAGTCAGAAGTCAGTCCGTAAGTCTTTAAAAGCTAATTTGATCAGGCTGGGTCTAACTCATGTTAGGTTTTAGATCAATGAGAGGCTGTTAGTAAAACTTAAATAAGTATCGGTGTTCATTCGTTCATAGACACTGATTTTTATAAATATGACAAGATGATTCTTATTTCTATTGTGAGGAGAGTATAAATCTAATAACCGTGTTCTGTTTGAACAGCTCTGCATGATTTCTGTAAATTCAAAGGAAAATGTAGGTGCTGTGTTAAAAAACTACATCCAAAGACTTTCTCTCAGCTCCCGCTGTCACCTCATACACGCACAGGTTCACATGAAGAAGCTCATCCAGTGAATAATGTTGTTAATAACGGAATTTAATTAAAGCAGGTGAGTGACACTGCAGTTCAGCTGATTAAATGCTGAGAGTCATAATGAATTCAAGACGAGGCTTTATRACTCTTTTGAACACCTGAGGGGTCAGCATTATCTGATGCGCTGCGCTCCTCTGCTAATCATGATGCTTGAGATAAATGAGCATTTTGTCTGGCAGACATGAGGAAAATGTGCATTTCAAAATAAAAGATCCATTTATTGAACCTTAGGAGTCAAATTGAATAGTGTTTGTAAAGCAACACAACTTTTTACCACAGAGTTGATCTAATTATCGACTTACTGTTAAAATGACATTTTGCATGAGCCTGAGAATCTAATTATAGTGTTTGGAAGGGCTGAAGTGTTTGAAGGACCAGCAGGGGTTTGAAACATTTTACCTCCTCAGTACAATTTAGAGTGGATCTTCAAGATTCAAAAGCATGGAGATTAGTGTGTCGTCTGCATATCAGTGAAATGAAGTGTTGTATTTGCAAGAGATATTGCCCAATGAAAGTCAATACAATGTGAATAAAAATGGGCCCAAAGCAAACCCTTGAGGTACTCCACAATTGATGGGCTGTCGAAGAAGTCCTTCTTCTGGAGACAAAGATCTGTTTGTTAAACTAAAAATGAACTTGTGAAGGACAGTGTACTGTATCTGATCCTAAACATGATTTAGAATATACCATAGTTCAATACTACAGTGCATATACTTTCATTGGGCAATGTGTGTTGGGGTACAAAGAGTCCAAAAAGCATATTTACCATTGTCTAAGGATAAGAACAAAACATTCCAGACTTATTAGAGCAAGACCTTTTCTATAAATGTATTTTTCTCATTTTTTCTGCAGGTGTTCTGGCATTTATAGCACTTCCAGGAGGATTGTTGTCAGCACAGGAGCTGTACCACAGCCAGACATCCCGGGACTCTTTCTCCATGAAAGCCACCCACAACGGCCTCCTCTCTTCCCCCGAACCTCCCTCAGAGAGCTCACATCAAGAAGGATCCAGCAGTGGGGAATGGTCCTCCAAAGGTCCACAAACCTCAAACATAATCCTTCCTAATCTTGGTCTCCTATTTTACACAAGTACCATTCATGACACACAAACCATCACCCCAAACACTGTGAGCGTTGATAGTCAGGTGACTCAACCCCAAGAGCCCAGATCTGGTATTGTAAATCAAGGCCCACCCATTCAAAAATTTGTCAGGGTACCTCAAGTCCAAAACCCAGTTGCTAGCAGTAACCAGATCAGCAGCAGACCTAAAATTTCCAGCACAGTTTTGCCAAATGTCACTGCAGAGTCTGCTGCTAGAAGGGCTCCAAACCCCCTGGAATCAGACGGAGGGGACACATTCTCCACAGACCAGAGAAAGCCTCCGAAGCTGAGCGTGTGGGAACCCAATGATCCCAGGAAGCAAACCCTTCCACAGCTGCAGCCCTCTTCTCTAGCCGCCCGCTCCTCTTTAGACGTTCCTACAAAGGGCCTGAAACCCAGGGTGCAAGGTGTGGGATCGCCAGCGCTRCACGTACACCACACCATCACTTTGCGGGAGACACATCCTGGGAACGAGACCCCCACTGATCCGCTGCTGGTAGAGTCAAAGGAAGGGCCTGTCACGCCACTTTCGAGCCCATCACAAAATGCAACTTCCACGGTGCCCAACATAGTCCTGTCCACCGAGCCAGGCCTCCAAACAGAGAATTCAACAATCAACAACACAGCTGCCACCACCGAGGATGGGCAGGTTGTTACAGGTAATGTCACAGACGGCCCATCTATGGGACACCAGGAGTGGAACCTGACGACTCCTACAGGGCTGCTCCCTAACAGCAGCTCAGTCGAGGAGACGTCTGCTCAGGGGAACAGCTCAGAGACCCTTTCCACAGCCAGCGGCAACTTGCCCAACGTGCAGGTTCCAGCAACCACCGACAACCCCCGGCCAGCTGGGAACACCTCGTGCTCCTCCGTCAACTGCTTGCCATCCGAAGGAGACATCTGCTTGAAAAAGATGGACATCGTGTGGATGGTGCTGGCTATCAGTGTGCCTGTAGCCACCATTTGTAAGTGAAAACATTAAAATTCTGTAACTTTTTTTTACTATTTAAAGAAGTAGTCCTGGTTAGATTTAATGAATAAATGTAGGATGCCTTTTTTGTCACTACTTGTATTTTATAAAGTTTTAAATCAGGGGTGCCAAACTCATTTTCACTGAGGGCCACATAATCGTTTCTCTTAATGATGCTGTCATAATTAACGTCACTTACCTCGTCTCATTGCTACAACTGAGCACTGCTAACAAACAATAACTGAGCTCTGCTTGGTATTTCCTGCACAGAATCAGCATTTTAACACATCCTCTTATAAACACTGAAAATCACTACATGTACGACTGACTAAATGTGAAATAARTAACACAGAAATACTATTAAAAGTAAAAGTGGTGCGTAGCTGTCATCTTGAATTCTGAAGCCTCCCACTTTATGACAGGGAATTCCCACTGGAGGCCATTCCAGTTCAAATTTACAACTTGTACATGGGAGCTTTCCCCTTCCCAGTACAACTGGGCTGCAGCAAAAGTAGCCAGCGAAAATGCAGCTAAATATAGATTTTACACAGTGAATTTTACCAGATGTCAGCTACTTTTGAACCCCGTGCAGCGCCACATAGTGGTAGGGTGCTGTCATTTTATGGGTAAAATAATTGGCATGCATTACGGGAAATGTAGTTTATGGTCAATTGCTATAAAGCAGCTTATTTTGAGACGTTAATGCACAACTATTCAACTAAATTGCTCAGGGGGTCACGGTTATTCAAAGCCAACAGCTCAAGGGCCAGGCAAGTAATATTATCTTATCACATTTTTAACACTGTTTATTTTGTTTGATCATATTTTTAAAGTTAACAATTAATTTAAATCTATTTTATATTAAATTAAGCAAAAAAAGAGGCTGGGCCTTATTAGTTGGGTGGATGGAAGTCACGTGTCTCGCACGCTGGAGTTTGACACATTTAAAAAATTATTTCCTGAGGCTGTGGGTTTAAGCTTATGGTAAGTCAGGATGGTCATCTGGCATACAACGGTTAATAAATCTTTTATGTAGGTTTGATATGTCTGGCAAAATTAAAATAAAAAAGTCATAGATTGTTTGTGATCTCGTCACTTTATATCAGTGTATTTGAMAGTAATCTCCTAAATTTGTCTCAGATTCATTTTGACAGCTGACAGAAACTCTTCAGGGTCTGGTCTTAACAACCAGAAGAGTTTTAACCGAGTGAAGATGTTGCACCTGAGGCGAAACACGGCTCTGTGCAGCTTGAGCTGTTCAAAAAAACAAGAGTTCTTTTGTTATCGATAATCTCCCTTGTAACAGTTGAAGCCAGAGGAACAGCCTGGATAAATGTCTGATTATATTTTAGAGTGAATTTGTCTTGTTTTAAACCAAAAACATGGCAGCTTTCAAACTTGAACACTATCCCACGTTTTCGCTCTCCTCCTGTAAGCTGTGCTGTTGACCGTGCTCTGCATGAGGAGGAAGAAGAAGTCAACCAGTCAGGAGAACAACCTCAGCTACTGGAACAACGCCATCACCATGGACTACTTCAGCAGACACGCCGTGGAGCTTCCCCGAGAGATTCACACTCTGGAGAGCGAGGTACAAACTCCTGACACATCACGACTCTACCACCATTCAGCACTACGCAGCCTGAAGTGGCGTGACGTTTACTTGTTTCATTATCAGTCAGCAGAATGCTGCTAATGAGTTTACAAACAATAAAGAGGATCCAGGTCCAACATCCTCTGTCAGCAAGCCTCGAGGCCTGCTGAGGCGAATGCTAGCATGAACTGTAAAGCAATTTACCTATATTCTGTGTAACCATGAAACCAGTAAGTAAACGTTAACAGACACATTCACCATCAGACTCTTGAAATTCTCTTTGATTTAGTTGCTCCTTTGGATTTCTGGATGATTCAGTTCAGTTTTAGTTTTATTCTCAAATATATTGTACCCTGTCAGATACTGGTATTTGTTATAGACTTTCTGTTATTCTTATTGAGACACATGATTTAGGGGAAAAAAAGCTGAGTCATTGTAAAATAAAGTGACCACAAAACAAAAATTGCAAAATGATAAAAAAAATTCATTTTCTAATTTTATTTTTCCTGTCAAATATGTTTTGCACTATTCATGTTTKTCTTTCTTTTTTTTCATAGGTTTTGTTTGGTAAATATTATGCAAAAATCATATTTGTTATTGCTACATTTTGCTCTGAATAAATAAAACCTTTCAATCCAAAATTGATATTTTGAGTTTATAAAGAAAATTCAACATTTACTTTGACAAACCTAATTCTGTTTCTGATCACTGAGCTACATATTAGAAGCAGATAATTATATATTGCTATTTAAATATAAAATTCAGAAATTTTCCTTACATGTCTTTGTTTTTTGTGATGTTTTAGACTTTAGCTGCTTAGAATTTATTTTGAATAACTGAGTTTCTTGTAGAATAAGATTTATAAATTTGATTCATTTTTTTAATGTGAAACACCAAGTGCAAGAAGAAATGTTTTCATTTGTATTTGTATTTTTTGAGGAGTTMATTGAATAAATCAGTTCACCTTGAAAAAGGATTTAGTTTTTGGTGCATTAGAGCGCCATCTGCTGGTCGTCATGGAAAATAACAAGAGCAACGCTTAAATTCCAGTCCTGTCTTTAATCGCTGCTTGTTTTGTTTGCATGTTGTTGTTTTTTTTTAACAATACTATTTTCTGTTTGTTGTTTCTTTTTATATATTTTATTTTATATGTCCACTTTGCCTCCCTTTGCTTTCTGTGGGGTTTCAGGGAAGAGAAGATGAGGTTGGATCATGTATAAGATGCTCTTGGTGAAACTCAGGTGTCTCCTTCTTGTGTCTGTAGAGCAGAATCATAACGTACCCCCCACCCCCCCCCACCCCCACCCTTCTGGTGTTGTAGGTAAATGGCGGCGCTCTGTGGGAGACCCCATCATAAATCCAAACCAGGGCATTGGTTTGATTAGATTAGAGCTGGCTGATGAAACAGCTTCATTCCTGCTGAAAAACAAATCATTTTAGGGCTTTTTCACACCTCCCTCCTTCCTTCTTTCCTTCCTTCCTTCCAGCATCACTTCATTACTGCTGACTCACCATCACCCCCCTCCCTCATCTCTTCTGCTGCTTCCTTCTGAGTCATCTCTCCTTTTTTCCCCACATAAGCTTTTACAATTTCCCTTCCTCCTTCTTTTGTGTTTTTCTGTTCAAATAGCTTTGTCAGATTGTACTTTTTCCAGATTGTAATAAAAAAGAAACAATGGAGAGCAATGACTCCTTATTTCCCCCCTGGTCCCCTTATAGAGTAGATAGACGACTGCAGCGTATCTTAATGTTGAGCTCCCAGTTGTAATCAGCTATTTTTCAGGCACGTGCACTGATTTTCTTTTTTTCTCCTTGTGTGTGTGTGNTGTCTCTGCAGGAGCTTGAAACCTGTCTACCCCCTAATGGAGACTACAGCGGCAGCAGCGTGGTCCTGGTTAATCCGTTCTGCCAGGAGACCCTCTTCATCAACAGAGACAAAGCCTCTGTCATATGAGACAGATCCTCCTCCTCCTCCACCTGCTATGGTTTTATAAAACGCGCGGTAAATATTCACAGACGTTGACTTTATACTGTGTATAACAAACACAACCTGAACGAAGAGCGACGTAGAGAAAAATGGAAGAAAAATACAGACATTATTTACAACGAGGATGCACCTGCATATTTTTTCTGATGTACATTTTATACAAAAAGCTTAATTGTGATAAAGGTTTCTATTGTCTTTATATAAAACAGAGTATATGTGGGTTTTGTTGCATTACAGTGGCTTAATAGTAATTGCACTGTGGACGTTGCCACATGAAATCTGCTTTAGAGAGAGA